CATATGATGATCAGGGTACATAATAGTGCATGAAAGTATAGATATAGATCAGAGTACAATTTGTATTCGTACTCGCGCAGCCCTCTCACGGCTGATCAATAGAAATGGATCTTCTATTTTTTCTTGTCTAACATGATTTAGGATTTATTCGTAATGTTAAATGAACTTTATCTCGCAAGTGATACTGTAGTGATGTGAATGTTGACATATGTAACTAAGGAAAAAAAGAAACTTAATTTGACACTGAAGTGCAATGGCTTCTGTTTTATGATGAATTCAATTTGATAAGCGGAAATTTTGGTTGTGTTTCTCTCAATTGAATGATTTGGAGACCATTTCCTTGATCAAGACAACCAATAACTTCAAATTGACGAGCTGGAAGGAGCAAAACTTCATCTTCTTCGGCATAAAATGAATGTGATCGAATATTTTTACCTGAATCACATTCAATGCTGAACAAAGTTCTTATTCCTTCCTTTCCCAAGAAATGCTCATGCTTAAGTGCTTCAATGGATACAGTACATGAAGAGAAACCCCACCAAACAATGGTACTTCCTCGAGAATATTCAGCAGTTAAGTCTGATTTGACACCACGATAGACAACGTGATGAGTTGATGGAAGTTTCTGTAGAGCATTGATGATGAGTCGAAGATATGAAAACCATGGTTTTAGCTGTTCGCGAACGCTTGCTCGTAGAGTGTTATTGAGTGCAACATAGAAAGATTTCTCGAACGGTTGCCACTCCATTGTATAAAGCATAATAGATGCAGACTCATCAATAGTTAAACTATCTTTTGGATTCACACAATTCTGTTTAGCAATCCAAACCATTTGCTCGACATCTGGAACGAGTGAAATAAGAGAACTAACAGCCTCTTCCAGCGAAACCATGGGCATCTTCTCAAACCCTTGAATAGGTAAAAGCATTCGTCGTGGTTCACCAACGACATCAGAGAATCGATGAGTATCCTTTTGATCATCGACATGCTTAGATGTCTTAGTAGAAGTTGGACCTGAAAAGAAAATATGCGTGTCTTATGGATTATCTACTAACAATGTATTTGACAATCCACCATATTTTTTTATACTAGAAATTTTCAAATACGAACGACGAAATAGATCGGACTCCTAATTTATTCACGGATCAATTAGGAACTCAAGGTATTCAGCTTAACGCGCCGTAAACGTAAGAAATAAAAGCTTTCAATATTTTTAAAGAAAGTTAAAATTTAACTGCAATTTTCTTTTGAACAGAAACTGCTAACGAGGCAACTACTCAAACTGATACCCGCTGTTTGATCTCATATTGAGTGCACAAAAATATCTTGATGAGGCCATTAGAAGTCTGCAAGTGTTCGTTCCCATGGAAGGCTGGAGTCAGATGATGATCATTTGACTGAATTTTCGACTCGGTTTTAGATATGTACCAAAAAATTAAGAAACAAAATTTCGACGTAAAATTTTGCCTGTAGGTAGAGCGATTGGCAGAGTGTCCTGAAAAAGCGGTGATCAAAAATCATCAGATTTTTCTGCACTCTGAAAATATTATAAAACGAAAGTACCTGAAGATTGTATAACTACCTTGATATCTATTTGCTAAGATTTCGTTCCTTTCCTGGATAAAAAATAT